GACATTTTGATCAACTCCTTATTCTGAAGAATTATACTTTCAAAAAAAATTAGAATTTACCTTTTTTGGAATTACCAAAAATATTTCTTAAACATTCTCAGTTGTAAAGGTGAGAAGGCTCCCCTCTGCCACTCTGTATTCTGGAGTTGTTAAACAGCAGTTGGAGATGCATTATTTAATGATAAATACTGTTGAATGCAGGATTGTAAAATTTTTTTTAAACCACTAGTTAGTTGGAAAATTCTTGGTCCTAAGACTGTGAATTATATTTTCTTCATTTTGTCAGATAAAATTTGAAAAAGCTGCCTTTTATCTTCTCATTTTAGAGGTTATGAGAATTTTAATATCTACTTCTTCATCAGCTTACTAGTGCTTTGGTTGGAAGAGATAATAAACTCAGGTGGTCAATCTGACCTTTCTACCCAAAGCTGGGTTAAATATTTGTAAATTTACCTCTTTGTTTCAATATAGATGGTTTTATGAGAACACAGGGAGTGCTCTATGACATTCCAACAAAGTAGTGGTCGATGGTGATTGTGAATCCAGTAGTAATCGATAGAGAAAAGTGCAGACATGTGGGTGGACATTCAGTCCCAGAAATCTTAGAAGACAGGCTGCTGCCTGGTGCCAGGTGCTGGGCAATTGCACGGGGGCAGAACTCTGGTCACTGGGACAGCATCCAACACTTTCCGCATCTTAAGGACCTGCAAAACCAGAGGACTTGATAAAACACAACTCTTGTGATCCATTTATTCTATGTGTAAATCCTTCTTGTACATTATTTTGTCACTAAATATTTTCTGCAGTTGTTGATGCTTTTATGATATCTTATTCTATTTGTATTCTATAATTTAATGAATCTCTGAGTGCATGACTTGGAATACATATAAGCAACTACTTATACATGATTATCAAACAACATTTCAATGCAACACTTCACTTCAGGAAACATAGTCCAGCAGAAGTAGATAAGTCAGAAATATATGTAGTATTGTTTATATATATACATTTATACATATATACATATATATACATATATATATATTTATATTGTGCTCCTTTTCCAATGTCATTCAACTAATGAGTGGCTTGGACTAGAGAACCTCCCTCAGTCACATAGCTGAGCTCAGGACTAACACTGGTCTATACAGAGCCTTTGCTGGAATTAGAAGACGGTAGCCTTTCACCACATGGATAAAGCACTGCTTGGGGTCCTAGAGCTTGACAAGGGGTGGACCAAGCATCTCTGTAGAGAGGACAACCTACATAATTGCACCAAAGGGGAAGTTCTTTTCCCTTTACCCTCAAGCATTCAAGCACACCTGAGCTTTTCTGAACAAACAAACCCCTCCTGGTGTCCCCAGCCCCTCAGTAGTATACACACACCCAGATGTGTCTGAATCCCTGTTGCAGACCAAACAAACCCCCAAACCGGGACCCAGCCACGAATATAATGTGTGAACAGTAGAAATATAGGAACACGAGAACATCAAGAATGAAGAGAAGGAGGATTTGTAGAGAGTATGTCGACATGTAAAGAACGAATAAGGTTAATGGGAAAAAATTGTGAGATCTGAGTTGACATTTAAAAAGAGGAAGGAATGAAGTCTGACAGAATGTGTGTTTCCTGTACACACAAAAGAACTTAGGAAATAGTTCCTGAGTGACAGACTGCAAAAAGCTGAAGGAAGATCAGATAAACTGGAACAGAAAGTTTTTGCATGCATGCATTTTTCTAATCTTTATGGTTCTATTTTAGAGAAAAGGAAACTGAGAATCTGAGAATTCAATTAATATGCCTGAGGTCACACAGCTGACAAAAGCCTGAACTCAAGCACCTATCTGTCTGTCCTCAGAGCCCAGAACAATTTGAATATACTCTGTCACCTCTCAGGAGTTGTGGGAACCCCCTAAACCCCAGTGCATGTGGAAATTACTTTACTTTCACTGTGCTTCTGACACCAGTGAGTGTCGCATACGAAGGCTGTTGTGCTTTTGCAAAACAATTCTATTAAAGTTATAGAAGCAGATATGATAACCTTTAGGTAGACATATTTTTAAGTTACAGAAATCACTGGGGGAAAAAAGTATGAAAATGTGTATGCATAGTTTCAGTAGATCAAGCAAGAAGACAATGGGATATGAAAATTACTGCTAAAGGTAGAGGATAGGGAAAGGTTGAAGTTCCAGTAGGAGACAAGGATGATTGTCCTGAGAAAGACATAAGAAAGAAGTTAGTTCTCTACTGCCATACTCCTACTTAGAGAATGAGCAGAGAGCTGCTGGGTGACTGCATCGTGCTGGTGATCAAAGCAAGGAGGAATCTTAAAACTTGGATTTCCTTAGATGTAGTTCAGGGTCCAATTATACACAAGATCCCTCATGGACAGCCAAGCGATGTAACAGTTTTCTTAGCCTCAATTATTTCAGTGTTAATCATCTTCAGTCAGATTTATCTTTCTAGAAAAAGGCTTTGATTTTCATCCCACTGTTATTTAAAGACCTCAATGAATTACTACTACCAAGCGAATAGAGTCGCACATCTTTAGTCTTGTATTTAAGGTGATCTAGAATCTAACCGCACACACAGACATATCTCTGTAATAAACTCCCTTTCGTTTAAGCTACTTTGAATCTACATTTGGAATCAAAAGTGTCCTGATTAATGAATTAACCTACACCCCTTCCATTTCGTTTCTTCCCGTGGATGTATTTAACTTCCTTGCTCCTCCTCCATGGTAGAGGCCCGTAGAGAAGATACCGTGCCTCAGACCACGCCTCCCGTAAATTCTCACCTCCACACCTGCAGATGTACCTGACCTCACCTCTGCTTTCCCCACCCCTCCAGTTACACTCATGTGACCACGCTCTCACTTTTGATAAACTCACCCCGTGGTTTCTGTGATACCGTGTTATTCTGATTTTCTTCCCTCATGCTCCTCTTTCACAGTCTTCCTCTCACATGTTTGTGCTCTCCAGTCACTCATCCTGGGCCATCTACTTTTTGCAGCTCACACTCTCCTCCTGAACCATCTCATCATTTTTTCTTTTTGGCTTCTTTTATGTGTTTTATGAAAACTTCCCGCCTTTACCTTGAAGTCAAATCTGTCCCCGAACTTGCTCCCTTTCTTTCTCTCACCTTCCATATCTAAAGCATCAACAAGTTCTGGTAGTTTTTCCTCCACAAATGTCCAAAATCTATCCCTGATGAAGTTTGGATGCATTGTCCTCCCCGAACTCATGGAAACCTGATCCCCAGTGTGACAGTTTGAGTCGTGGGTGCAGATCTCTCATGAGTGGATTAATGCTCTCCCTAGGTGGGGGCAGTAACGAGTGAGGTCTCGCTCTGTTAGTTCCTGAGAGAGCTGGTTGTTTCAAAGACCCTGACACCTCCTCTCTGCTCTCTCTACTCTCTCTGTGCTTCCACCATCTTGCAATGTGAGACCCCTGGGTCACTGTCGCCACCACCAGATGGACTTTGGACTTCTCAACCTCAGAAACTGTAAGCAAAAAATTTCATTTTCTTTATAAATCACCCACTTGCATGTATTTTGTTATAAGCAACAAAAATGGACGAATACAATCCCCTTCCCACCATCTCCACTGCCAGCTTCCTGACCTTCCTTCACCTGGACTCCTGCAGTCACCTCCAGCAACCTGGTCTCTCTGATTCTACTCTTGCCACACTACAATCTAGTCTACTCACAAAACCAGAACTGTTAACATGTCTATTCTGGACTTTAGTGATTTTCCAACTCCTTGCTATGAAATCCATGGCCTGTGTGGTCTGACGTGCTTGGCCGCTGCCTATCCATGCAACTTCATCTCCCACCACTTTCTCGCTGCAATGGACATTTTTGAGCATGACTTTTGATCCAATCTTAACTCTAGCCTTTTCTCTAAGCTCTGCCTCTGCCATACTCTTGATTCATGTGGTAACTAAATTCTTTTCATTTCTTCAATTAGGACAAGTCCCATTGCCCCTTAACCTTTACCCGAGTGACCCCTCCCCTTCATTCATTACATTCCTGCACATCCTGATGGTTGCAGCTCAGATATTACTGGGATGCCTTTACTAACCCCCTCAAGTCTGGCTATGTGCTTCTTCTAGTGTACTCACGGCCCTGTACTTCCATACCAAAGTCCCAATCTCATGAATTTTAATTGCTTGTCTGTGAGGACAGGAAGAGGAGAGACAAGATCTGCGTAGATCACCCACCGGCAGCCAGAACTTGGCACATAACAAGTGCTCAACAGATGCTTTGAAAGAGTCAATAAAGACCAATACAAAAACTCACACTGTTTATCCTTAATAATTTATTGAATATAAGTATGTATACATGTTTAGCAAACTATTTCCAGCTTTCATTGTAAAATGCGAATTTAATTATCTTAACAGATTTTTGAGTTGTTTTCTCAAAGTCCTGAGTTAAAAACCCTCTTTGACATGTACTATGTTATAAAGAAGCCTGAGCTGAGTAAACTTTATCTGAATTTTAAAGTTAAAGTTATGATGCCCAGAACGGATAAACCCAGATAAGCAACACTCCTTTCTGAGTTCACACTTAAGGAAGTTTACTTCTTATTTGGCTATTAACACTATTTTATTTGGCTAATTACAAAGAGGAAAATTCTTGTTCAAAATATTGAGTGACCTTTCTAAAATTAAGAACTGTCCAAAAAAAGGAAGTCTTAGGAGTTGGTAAATTTATTGTCCTTGGACTCTAAATGAAAAATATTTTCCAGAGATCTGTGTTTTTTAAACCCCATTATTTGATGAGTTCTAAGTCCCTTACAAATCTAAGCACCTATACTCCTATATGACAGATGAGTGATTTCCTTAACCTCACCTTTCTCTACCCCCAGTCATTGTATTCCATTAACTTCAAAAACCTGTTCTTATTATTTCATGGTTTCTAATTTTGTATGTTCTTTAAAAATTGACCCTAACATTTTAAATGACTGAATTACACAGGAATATACTGTATTTCTTTAGGAAAATGAGCAGGCGGAATTGTTGGATTTGTAAGATGTGCAGAAATGAATCTAAGAAGCCCCCTTCAAAGTAAGTAGCATTTGAATTCTAGAGCCATTTTAAAGCATATCTGTCACATAAGTGCATGCATATTTATTCAACTGCTATCTTAATATATTTTGTTCAGAGAGTAAAATTTGCATTTACACATGAGTAATTCCACCAGAAGAGCAATCATGTATTACAGTAAGATTTCATTTTCATAATTTATGGTTTACACTTGAGAATTCAGCAAATTAAAAAATTTTTAGAGAGTCTCTTGTGAATATTCTTCTTTTTAAAAAATTTTATTTATTGTTTACGTTAAAATAAGATTCTTTGATCCAAAATATTTTCACACTTCTCACCCTCCACGTAAGAAGTTCGAGAAACCTTCATCCCTAGAGGAAGGAGGTGAGCAAATGCTTACCAAGCTGCCCAGTCTCCACATTTTGCCCTAACCAACAATGTAGCCATTCAGATGAGAAAGTGGAAAGTATAACGCCTGAGAATGGCAAGAAACCACGCAACCGGATTTGCTCACCTCGAGGAATTCCCAGGTCAAGGACCCCTGCGAGGCTACCGTGAGCGTCTAACGTAGTCCAGGTGGAGACCTCAGATCTGTCTGCATCCCCCTGTATGGTCAGAGCTCCTGCATGCACGCTCCTCTCCCGAAGTACTGAAATCGTGGCCAAACATGCTTATAAGCTACTGTGTGGTGGGGAGAAGAAGCTACAATGGTGAGTGGAGAAGGCAGTGAGACCCAAAGCTCAGCACTTTAAATGACCAGCTGAGGCTGCTAGCCTGCACAGGTGCACCCAGGAAGGAAGATGTCACCGGCTAATGTGGGAACAGCTTCCTTTCCTTCTCCTGATGATTTCCATCGAGTATCAGCATTGAGGCTTGCTACCTGCCTTGGGGTTCCCACCGTGAGGAAAAGGGGAGGCCGAAGAAAGAGAATTCACATTCATAGAAGGCCACAAGATAGCAGTCATTGAAGAGGTGCTTTGCCATTCACGACCTAATTTAACTTTCATGATACTTTAAAGAGTGAGATAGATATTATTATCCCCATCTTATACATAATAAAATTAGGGTTTGGAGACTGTAAATAAAGCCAAACCTATTAAGTCCAGCACTAAGATCAGAACCTAGGACTGTCAGACTCCAAACACCATTCATTCCTCAGTTCACAGCATCATGACATGACAAGATGCTCCCCCATCTGTATAGTTGACACTGTCCGTCTGCCCAGAAGAAAGGAGGGGACACAGAACTGGAGAACTTGTATCACGTAAGTCAGGCAGATAAGGGAACAGAGGTGTTCAGAATAATTCTTATAAGGGCACCTGGATACATGGGCCAGCATAGAACTTGTAAGATACTCAGAAAAAAATCACAAGCAGAAATGGGGTTCAACTAAAAAAAAAATTCATTTCACAATCCCTAACCATGTTCTTACAATCGTGATCTATCTCCAGAAATCTCATGTATCTTAGAGGCAAAGGAATTCTCTTACCAGCAATTGCCAGCGGCTGATTTTATGCTGACCCAGCACAGTGATGGTGTCTTCAGTCGTGTTGTAGATTTTATTCCTTCCTGTGTAATGGGAATGAGTGGAACAGATAGGCATGACATAAACCTCGCCCAGCACTTTTTATTCCACTGCATTGAAAAGGTTATTTTAGGTTACTCTTTCTAAAGTTCTAATAAGAGAAAAGGACGATGAGTCAGAGACCATTTCACGGAAATGTTTTTTTGAAAGCAGTCAGCACGGTACACTGTTAAGCCTGGGTACGGATGCAAACGGCCCATCTAAAACTGGCAGACTCCATCTACATTTTTAGAAATCAAGATATTTGACCTTTTTGGACTCTTGGTATTTCTCAACTTGGTATTTTTCAACTTCTAACTAATCTTCCTTCATTGTGTTAAGAGCCTGCTAATGCCTGTGGCTCCTCCTGCAGTACTAATTATTGGGCGGACTATAGCAGCTATGGACAGTGGACGGTGCTTGCTTCTATCTGTAGTTTTTTGGGGGGTTTTTTAGTATAACCAGTTGTTGAAAGCAGGAAAATTTAAAATGTATCATAAGCTGAATGGCAATGAATACATTGATTATTAAGAGGGAAAATAAAATTATTTGTGAGAATACATAGTCATTTGCTAATTCACTTCATGAAGTTTACCAGAAGGAACAGAAATGAAGCCTCAAAGCCAGTGTCTTTCACAGACATTTTATAAATGACAAATGGCTTTTTTAATGCTGTTTAGGTCAAATATAACTTGACATATTATACCATAATAAAAATTAAAACCTTCAAAATGCAAAAAATATATAGCAAATAAGAGACCAAAAAAAATAGTTATAGAGCTATTAATTTTATTATATGAGTGCACACAAATAGGTTTTCTGGACAAACTCTAAGATTCCAATAGATAAATGGGTAGACACACTGCTGGTGGTAGCAGCACACGATGCACGACTCTTTTAAAAGAAATTTGGCATTTGTACCAAGAACCTACAAAATGGGCATCTTTTGACTTACTGTGAATTCTACTCCTGCTCATCTTCTAATGAATTACCCTAACTAGGTGGGCATGGCAAGCCAGAAACACAGCTGGGCTGTGTTTGATTTTTAATGGTGAAAAATGAGAAATAATCAAAGTGATTTTTTGAGAATAATTATGTAAACTATGGAATGCCCCCTTTTAGAATACTCCACACTCACTACAAATGATATGACTGTCAATGATTACAAATTTATAATTGTACATTATTACACTATCAATGATTAATACAATTGTGATGACATATAAGACACATTAAAACAGCATACACACACATAAAGTATGCACACATATATGGAGTATTAACAACTTCTTGGTTAAAAACATACAAAGACACACATAAAAAGTCTAAAAATAAAATCTACATCGAAATACTAACAGTGGTAATTTGGTTATAGAGAGATTATAGGACTCTGGTTCTTTATCCTTTTAACATTTGTGTTGCTGTGTTTTCAAGTATACACCACTTTTATAATTTTAAAAATTTAGATGGTAAAAGTAAAATGTGTAAGATCACAGGAAGATAAACTTCTGCCCAACACCACATGCAAATGGAGCGTAATTATATTTTGTTGTTACTTTTAAGATAATACAGTTCTGTTTAGTTCAGTAAATCCTGGAGAATATGTTGGCCCAGTGAGCACTTTTTGTTTCTTTTCGAAGCCTGACTTTGGAGGAACTGTTACGGTGGGCCCAGTCTTTTGAGAGTCTGATGGCTACCAAATGTGAGTACTATGTATCTGCTGTCTTTGAAGACCTTGCTAATTTTGTTCTTAGGGAAAATACGGGGGCACTTACTGATGAATATACACCTCCCTTCTCAAAGTCTTTTCAATGGCAACTGACACAGTTAAAAAAAGAAAACCTGAAAATAGTTTGTCGTGTCAACCACTATTATTTTCTCTGGTGTTAATTAAAACAAGATTAGTCACTGTGAATATTTATTCTTCACAAATATATGTGTGAAATCCCTTGGAAAATATGCTTAAATAGTAACACGTACTAGAATATACTGCCTTACCATAGCCTTCTAAAGTTAGTGGTTTTTTTTTTTTTAATTAACTATTTGCCATTCTTAGTGCCTTCAAATGTAGGAATAAATTTGAGCCTTAATGTTCTAAAGCACCTCTTCAAAGTTTGTCTCTAGTTTTATCAGTGTCTGACTTAAGTGGGACAGTATATGGGTCCGTGTTTAGTTGCATGTAAGCATCAACAGTCAGATGGCTTAAATGAAAGTTAGTAGCAATGGATGTGAGGGGGATAAAGTCATAAGCTCAATGCAGACAAAATAAAGGAGGATCCACATTCAAGTGAGCAGTCAATTGTGTTTGGGGTAGAAAACTGGGAGATTGTAGATAATGATACAACCAGAAGACAGGTACAGAAAAAAATGTAGTGGGTACTCACAGAAAATTCTCCTTTTGAATTTGGTCCATTTTTTTTTCTTTTAATGGAGGTAGTTCCCCTCAAATGTTTGTTGATTTTTGCCTGTAGATCTATGCTCCTATTTAAGATCTCTTTTTAACCTCTCTGTGAATGTTTAATCTGTTTGCAGCTATTGAGTGTGGAGGGGAGTTAGCTGTGCTACTTAGATGTCTTAACTGGTGGGGTGCGCCAGTGGTTTTTTGAGCAGGGCACCTCCTGTTCCTCATGGGGGTTGACACGCTCCTTAGGCACCACCTTCTCTCCCTAACTCAAGGGACCCTCCTTGGTATGGAGACAGCTGTCACTGCCTGGCCCAGAGGGCAATGGTGGGAAGTGTGGACCCTTAGCTGCTTTTCCTGAAACACCTTAATCAATCTTTCTGGCACTTACTTCACGGCCCCTATTCTAGTGTTAGAAGCTGCACTTCCAGGCTTGGTGACCACCTGAGGCTCCCAGGCCTTTAAGCGTTTGAGGACATGGTTTCTTTCTTTGATGCAATTACAAACTAAGTCTTTGACTTTTCACATATTCCTCATAGTTGGTGATCGAGTTTGCCAGCATGATTGTGAATTTTAAAAAACATATCTTTTGGGTCAATTTTAGGACATTGAAACAGGAGGAATAGACAAAAGCTCATGTTTACTCCGCTGTATTGATTTATCCTCTACTAATAGTTTGGATTTAGTTCCAACCTCCTGTAATCCATGTTTGCGACATTGCCAGATTAATCTCGCTCTTGGAGTTTCACGCACTTCATCTGTAAAATGGGAATAATATGACCTATCTTTTCAGCATGATTGCTCAGGTTATACATAAAACACCCACCTCAACGCACGATAAAGATCAGGCGCACAATAACTGGTCGTTATTTTTATTAGTAATAAAATACATGTCTCCAAATATTATTCTTTTTTTCTCTGCTGCCTACCAAACATCCAAAATCTTGCTATTTGGGACTCTCCATACCCTAACCCATTACATTTTCTGAGATTTTTACCTCCATCCACGTGCCTTCACATTACATGCCCTCCACTAACGTGACTATCGTTCCATCTTCGACTTGTCCGTCTGTGTCCTCTGCTCCAGGCTTTCGCTCGAAGTGCTTTCCATTTCCTCTACCAGCTCTGCCCAACCTTGAAAGGGAAATTCAAGTTCTACCTTTTCCGTGAAACCTCTTGTAATTATTTTTCCTCCCTCTTCTATTTTGTTAGTTTCCTTATTTATTCTGCTTTAATTTGTAGCTATTTATGTACTGAGCTTTTCCCACCGTATTGTAATAAATTCCTTCAGAGGACAGTTTGCCTCCCATTCTCCTTTCATCAACCTGAGAGACTAAAATCATGCTTTGTACCTAATGGGCATGCAAGAAATATCCAATGGATAAATACAAGACAAATATAAGTAAGAAAAGATCAAAACACCAAGCCCTATTATGTAAGTTTCTGTGCCATCCCTGGAGGCCTGATAAAGTGAACGCAGTTAATTATTTGGCAAGGATCTCAAGTCCCGCCTGCCTAGCTAGAATTAACAATTTCGAGATCTAGTGTCACAAGAATAAGCAAAGTCTACAGAAAAGATAGGACAGAAAGACATCATACTGCTCATTATAAGAGCCAGCAAACACAGGGTAAGAATCTTGCCAGAAATCAACTTACTATGAAGTTCATATAAAAATTCAATAATTATATAATAAAAAAGTAATAAAAAAAATTATTTTATGAATCATTCAACCAGAAAGATAAAACTAAGAATACAAACATTAAACGTGCCAGAGAATAAAAGTGTGTTTACATTAACCAAGGACACTGGTAAAATGCATCCTTTAGCTAAGATGTGCAGATGTTTATTTTTACATAGATTAAAGCACTGTTTCTAAAAACGTAGCTCAGAAACCCACATGGGAAAGAAACATATTAGGCCAGATCTCAACAGATCAACAGAAATTGGTTTAGGAGATGTTTACTGTGGACCCATTTAGTAAAAGTTGTCAGAGTACAATAAAATTCAGTGTCTTCATGGGAAAAGGGGATCTGAGAAAACCATCCATTTAAGAACAGAACAATGGCAAAATTCAGATGTTAGCTAGAAATTAAGAATATTAGTAACCTAGATACATTCTAGATGTTATTTAATAATAGATTATTGACAAGCAACTTTTTGAAAAATATCTTTTTTTTTTTTTTTGTCTTTTTTTTCGTGACCGGTAAGGGGATTGCAATCCTTGGCTTGGTGTCATCCGCACCGCACTCAGCCAGTGAGCGCACTGGCCATCCCTATATAGGAACCGAACCCGCAGCGGGAGCGTCACTGCACTCCCAGCGCCGCACTCTCCCGAGTGCGCCACAGGGTCGGCCCAAAAAATATCTTTTAAAAAAAAGATTTTTTTAAAAAATAGTGCATGCCTTTACTCAATACTCATTCAATAAATATGTACTGTGTTAAGCACTTCTAGGTAGCAGGCTCTGTGTTTGAAAAAAACATATATCCCATGTGTCCATGAAGCACAAAAAATAACACAGAGAAAAAAGAGAGATTTTTCAAAAACTGGAAATCCCCTAGAAGAGAACAAGGAAACCTGCCATTTATGGCACATTGGATAATGTCATCAAATTCCTAGGTTTCATCAAAATGAAAATTCAAACCAAAATCCTGTGGGTATTTCTGATGGCTAAACCTTCATAGAGATATACTAGAACTAAAAAAGACAGAGAAAAGTGCATTTGAAGTGATCGGGGGAAAAACAGTCACCTAACCCCCCACTACTCTTCAACCTGAAAAGATCAAGACTGAAAAATAACGAAAATTTATAATGTCAGGAAAAAATTGCAGAAAGTTCATGCTTATATTTATTTATTGACTAACTCTCAAAAGATGAGGATAGGCATTGCCTACTGCTATTTGGGTAAATCATGTTTCACATAAATTTTTTTTAAAAAGTTTAGTAAAAGCACAAGTACATCTCTAGGATGATTCATTCAGTCCTCCCACGTGTCCCAGACACACCGAGCACCGGAGACACTGGTGTGAGGGGCACAGAAAGTCACTGTGCTCGGCTCCCATGCGCCCTCTAGCGGAGGAGACAGCAAACGAGCAAACAAATTAAAGATTAAATAACTACAGAAAGTGGTAAATGCTTTGATGAAAATAAAGGCAGGTGATATGACAAAGATCAGATACAGGAGTGCAATTCAATTGGGTAATTAGAGAAGAACTGTCAGAAGGGGTAAAATTTGAGCAAAGAGCTGCACGACGAGAAGCAGCCAGTGTGCTGGGGTCTGTGGGCAGAATAGCCCACGCAGAAGAAAACCATGTTTGAAAGTCCCCAAGATATGAATGAGTTAAGTGTCTTCAAACAATCAAAATAAGCTCAATATGACAGAAGCATAGAGCCTTCCAGGCTGCAGGAATGACCTTAAACTGCAGAGTAACAAGATGCGATGTACTTTAACAAGATCCCCCTTTTCTCTTCTGAACAGTGGAAGCAGAGAAACTAGTTAGAGCCTGTTGCAATAAACCAGATAAAACTGGAGCTCGGTGGGGAAGACAAGGCTGGGAGTAATTAGCCTACAGATGCCAACAAGAGCCATGGGACTATGCAATCACTTAGAGGGAGAGGTAGGTAGAGGAGCCCAGAGGTCCAGAGACGGAGCTTGGGTGCACACGATATTTTCAAGTCCAGGGAAGTGGAGGGGTCAGCAAAGTGGGTGAAAAAGGAGCATCAGGTGAGTTAAGAATGACCAAAACAAGGTGTTGTCACAGAAGCCAAAGAAGAGAGTGTCAGGAGTTAAGAATGACCAAAACAAAGTGTTGTCACAGAAGCCAAAGAAGAGAGTGTTTCAGAAAGGGAGCCGTGAACTATTCTGAAGACTGCTGAGAAGTCAGGTAAGATGAGGGAAGAAAGTGACCACTGGATATGGCGACATGGACGCCGACAAGAGCAGTTTCGGGGCTGTGGTGGGGACGTTAGGGCAGGAGGAAAAGAAACAAAACATAGCGAGGAATTTCCGTGCGTTTTGCGTGAAGGTCAGCAGAGAAAAGAGCAAAGACTGGAAGGGGGCATGAGGTCAGTAACGGGAGTAGGGAGGCGGCGGTTGTCGTGGCTTTCGTTTGGGAAGAAAGGCAGCATTTATAGGATGAGGCAGCCAGAAGGGAGGAAAGACCTGTGACATAGAAGACAGTGGAGAGAGCTGTGAGCCAGTGGAGAAACACAAAGCAAAGTAAATGCAAAAGCAGGGGGAGCCGGAAAAAAGATTGTTTGGCCCAAAAAGGAAAGGGGACGCTTCATTGTCAGGAGGCAAGT